CAGGGAGGTTTGGAGTGCCCAGCCCTGGAGGTGTCCCAGGAAGGCCTGGCCGTGGCACTCAGTGCTCTGGGCTGGGGGACAAGGTGGGGATGGGGCATGGGGTGGGCTCAGTGATCTCAGAGGTCTTTTCCAACTTCAGGGATTCTGGGATTCTCTGATGGTTCTCAAAGCAAAGAGTTTTGGTTAATTTGGTGCTCCCACCCTGGTCTCCATCAGAGCAGCAGGTGTTTCCCCAGGGTTTTCCTCAGGAGAGGGATGCACAGGAAGCCCCACCATGGGTCCCTTCCTCACCTCTCCAAAAGAACCCACATCCATTGTGGGCATCTCTCCCGTCCTTCTGCCATCTGGCTGTGGCACAGACAACCTTCTCTTCCCCATTTCTCTTCCACATCCAACAGATTTCCTCCCCCTTGCTGTCTGCATCTCGTTGCATGTCACGGCCAAGAACATGCTTGTACCTCTCTGGTTACATCTAATTTCTGCCCAGAAAGACCCAGGTTTGTGCTGTGTCTGCGTGGCAGAGCTTCCAGCCTGGCTGGGTGGAAGTCTGTGCTTGGCTGAGGGCTCTGGAAAAGCTCAGGGGTGTCTGGGGAGCGGCTCCTCCATCACCTGGACGAGCAGTAGCTCTGCTCCTCCGGCTGCTCTCCCCCTGTCAGGCTGCCTGTGCTCCTCAGGGGGCTTTCCTGGGCATGTCCTGGCATTTCTGGCTCTCCAGCCTCTGTGTGGAACCATCTGGTCCTGGTCCAGTTGCCTCCCTGGCAGCACAGTGCCCTGACGTGGGTCTGAGGCAGTGCCATGGCCAAGCTCAGCGCTCAGCTCGGGGCAGGTGAAGTGTCCATCACCTCAACCTCTGCTCTGGGGCTCCCCAGGGCTCTGCTGACCCAGGGCACACCTGGATGCTTGGGATGGGACACCTGAGAGCCTGGGCACCTTTGCAATGCACACATGTATCAGCTGAAGGTCTGTGCTGCTGTGACAGGGCTGGGAAGTGGCTTTGTCCTTCGTTTTTGGGAGTCCCTTGCCTGTAAACCCCCCTTGGGCAAGTGAGGCCCCACTGAGGGCAAATTAAATGACACAGCCAGTGCAGGTCCCTCCTGTCTTTGAAGGAACTGCCTTTGCAGTGACACCTCTGTCCTCTTGACATGCCTCTGGAATTAAATACTCAGGAAGGACACTGAGGGGCTGGAGCAGGGGCAGAGAAGAGCAGCGAGGCTGGGGAAGGGACTGGAGCCCAAGTGCTGGGAGGAGAGGCTGAGGGAGCTGGGGGGGCTCAGCCTGGAGAGGAGGAGGCTCAGGGGAGACCTCCTCACTCTCTGCAACTCCCTGCCAGGAGGGGGGAGCCGGGGGGGGTTGGGCTCTTTTCCCAGGCAACCATCAGCAAGACAAGAGGGCTCGGTCTCAAGCTGTGCCAGGGGAGGTTTAGGTTGGATATCAGGAAGAATTTCTTTGCAGAGAGGGTGCTCAGCCATTGGAATGGGCTGCCCAGGGAAGGGGGGGATTCTCCGTCCCTGGAGGTGTTTAAGGACAGACTGGATGTGGCATCAGTGCCATGGACTGGGAACCACGGCGGGGTTGGATCAAGGGTTGGGCTGGATGAGCTCGGAGGTCCCTTCCAACCCAGCTGATTCTGGGATTCTATGAAACTTTGGCTTTACAACCTGTTCTGTGACCTGGATACCTTCACGTCCACTCCTGTAAATGTTGTGCCTCGGGGACTCCTGCCCTTGATGTCGTGATAAATGGATTAGTGGCTGGAGAGTGGCCCTGAGCTGCTCCTCCAGCCCCTCTGTGCTTCCTCTGGATGTGAATCCCAGGCAGAGGTTGAGTTTTTCTTTGTTTCTCAGCTGGATCCTGTCACTTTGGTGCTGGGAGGGAGCGCTGTGAATGTGGAAGGTGGTGGCTGGGTGTGATTTATTTGACAGGCTGAGTTAAAGCACTTGCCCTGACCTGTGTCAGGAATTATAAAGTACCTTCTTTTTTACCAGGGAGTCCTTGAGCAACCTGTTTGTGCCTCACTGCCTGGTGGTTGGGGCTTGCTGGGAATATCTCACCACCCCCCTGGCCCCGACCCGTTCACATCTCCCAGTGGGGAGGTTGTGCTGGTCCCAGTGGGGAGGGCAAGGCCCAGGACAGGTTCACTCCTGCTCAGTTAATCTGAGACAAACAGGAGCAGAGGAGACCTACAGGGTCTCCTGCATGGTGACCTTGCCTTGCAAGACAAAACCTGCTCTTACTTTTTGTCTTTTTTTTTTTCTTCCTTTTTTTTTCTTTTCTTTTTCTTTCTTTTTATTTTTTTTCTCCTTTTTTTTTTTCTAATTTCCTTTTCCCAGCTCTCCAATGGGATAATTCCATGGGAAACTTCGTATGAGTGTGGTTCAACATACAGTTAGGACTATTTTCCTAAGCACTTAATGCCAAAAAAGTAATAATTAACTTATAAAACACACCAAAGGCAGCCTGGGGTAACCAGGATAGTGACCTGGAAAGGGCTGAATGACATTCCTGGCTTCTCCCAGGATGGGGGGAGGAATATTCCATTGCCCACTCATGGAGCACCACGGGACAACCACTGTGGGGCCTCACTGGTCCCCAGCTTGGATCATGGAATCATGGAATGGTTTGGGTTGGAAGGGACCTTAAAGCCCATCCAGTGCCACCCCTGCCATGGGCAGGGACACCTTCCACCAGCCCAGGTTGCTCCAAGCCCCATCCAACCTGGCCTTGGACACTTCCAGGGATCCAGGGACAGCCACAGCTTCTCTGGGAAATCCATTCCAGTCCCTCCCCTCCCAACCAGCAATTCCTTCCCAATATCCCATCTCTCCCTGCCCTCTGGCACTGGGAAGCCATTCCCTGTGTCCTGTCCCTCCAGGCCTTGTCCCCAGTCCCTCTCCAGCTCTCCTGGAGCCCCTTTAGGCCCTGCAAGGTGTAGCAGGCTCAGGTGGACTCTGTGGCAGGACCATGCTGAGCTCAGGCTGGGCACTGAGGCTGTGAGCTCACAGAGTTTTTTGGGTTTCCCCTGTGCTGTTGGTCCCTGCAAGCCCACCACGGATGTACTCACATGGCCAGTTTGGAATCATAGAATCACAGAATCATTGAGGTTGGAAAAGCCCTCCCAGCCCATGGATCCACCCCGGGCCCCATCCCCACCTTGTCCCCCAGCCCAGAGCACTGAGTGCCACGGCCAGGCCTTCCTGGGACACCTCCAGGGATGGGCACTCCAAACCACCTCAAGAAACCTCCTTGCATTTCCAGTGGCTACTTCCAGTTCCTAATGATTTTTAAATCTTGCAGCACCGTTTGGACATGGCACCCATTTGATATTTCCTTCTCACGTTTTTTCCCGAATTGGTTTTCTGGAACTGATTCAGTACAAAACTGAACTGTCTCCTGGAGATCTGTCACGTGCCTGGGTGACACCTGAACTCAGCTTGGTGAGCCTTGTCCTGCCTTGGTGGGACATCCCAAGACCACGTGTAGATGTGGCACTCAGGGACTTGGGTTAACGGTGACCTTTGCAGTGCTGGATGACACTTGGACTTGATCCCTGAGGGCTTTTCCAACCCTTTTTTTCTGAGTTTTCCGGAGTTTCGACCTGTTTTTCCTGCTGGATGTGGGTGCTGTGGGCAGGTGTTGGTGGCAGGAGACTGGGAACGTGGACACTGCCGGCAGAAGTTCCCCCTGCACGTGGTTGGAACTCATGAGGGAGCAAACGCATCGCGTTGCTACGGCAACGGGGAGAGTTACGGGCGCCTGAAATTCTTGTACTTTGAACTGAAAATATTCCGCGGAAAAATATTCCGAGCGTGGCCGCACAGCACGGCTGGGGAGGGCCTTCAGGGGGGCTGGGTCATGGATGACACAGGTCGGGGGCCTCGGGCAGGTCCATCCTCTGCAGCCCATGGGAGCGTGTTCGGGAATCCCCCGTGGAAGGTGCCATGGGAGAGGTGGCCTTGGAAGGGATGTTTTGGATGCAGAAGGGGTGGGAGGTCCCTGTTAGTGGGATTGCACCCTTCCTGAGCCTGCTTGGAGCAGGAGAATGGGAGACTCCCTGTGATGTACCTGTCCCTTGCTTTGGCCACTGTGGTGGCACCAGGAATGGGCTGGACCTGCCTGACTCTGGGTTCCCCGCTGGGTGTTGCCACAAACTTTTAAGTCTGTTAAACTTTGGGATGGAAATGGACTCATTAAACAGACTATAGGAAAATCTGTCTTTCCTGACAGGAGTTCTCCTCTATCCTGGCCATTCCTGCCCTCCCAGCTCAACCCCACATACATTCCCTGGAGAAGGGGAGATTGAGAGGAGACCTCGCTGCAGTTACATCTTCCTCGAGTGGGGAAAAGGAGGGGCAGGGACTGAGCTCTGCTCTGGGGGGACCAGGGACAGGACCCAGGGAAGGGCTGGAGCTGTGCCAGGGCAGGGTCAGGTTGGATCTCAGGACAAGGTTCTTCCCCCAGAGGCTGGTTGGGCACTGACCAGGCTCCCCAGGGCAGTGGGCACAGCCCCAAGGCTGCCAGAGCTCCAGGAGGGTTTGGATGATGCTCTCAGGGACAGGGTGGGATTGTTGGGGTGTCTTATTCAGGGCCAGGAGTTGGATTGATGATCCTCACATGTCCCTCCCGACATGGCACATCCTGAGCTTCTGGTGGTTCCCCCATCATGTGAACCACCACCTCCCAACCAACCCTCACCTCCCAACCAACCCTCACCTCCCAACCAACCATCACCTCCCAATGAACCCTCACCTCCCAATCAACCACCACCTCCCAACCAACCATCACCTCCCAACCAACCCTCACCTCCCAACCAACCCTCACCTCCCAACCAACCACCACCTCCCAACCAACCCTCACCTCCCAACCAACCCTCACCTCCCAACCAACCCTCACCTCCCAACCAACCACCACCTCCCAACCAACCACCACCTCCCAGCCCGAGCGTGGCCAACACCACCCGCTCTCCTGTGGTCTAACAACCCCCCTTTCCATGTCTCCCCCAGTGCCTTTCCGAGAGACGCCGAGCTACACGAAGCGGCGGCGGATCCTGGGCGGCGGCGGCCTGGCGTCCCCGCGGCTGCTGCAGCGCTCGGCCAGCGACAACAACCTGAAGGCCGAGAGCCGCGCGTCCTACTCGCCGGTGCCGTCGCTGCGCAGCCTCCCGCCCCAGCTGCTGGTGCAGATGCAGGAGGCGGCGGCCGGGGTGGTGGTGGCGGCGGGGGACGGCGGCCTGGCCGGCTCGGGCAGCGCCCGCAGCGCCCACAGCCGCTCGCCCTCCCTGCAGCGCGTGCAGGAGGAGAAGGAGGCCGACCTGCCCACGCTCCGCAGGAGCAGCCGCGGCAAGGCCAGGTACGGGTGGGCGTGGGGGGAGTGGGGAGAGGGCGTGACGTGGCGTGGGTGGGTCGTGCCCCCGTGCCCGTATGGGATCGGGCGCCGCGGGATCCCGGGTGGGAAGTGGGAAGGCTGGTGGAGATTGGTGAAGCTCCTGCAAGGAGCTGGCTGGTCAAGAGGAACGGAGCGAGGATGTCCCGTGGCTGGCGTGTGCCCTCACACCTGTATGGGATCAGGCACCTCTTTGGGATACTGGGTGGGAAGTGGGAAGCACGCTGGGGCCCAGTGAAGCTCCTGCAAGGAGCGGGGCTGGCCAAGGGGAACAGAGCAAAGGTTTTCCATGGCTGGCACATGCCCCCAAACCTGTATGGGATCGGGCACCACGGGATCACAGGTGGGAAGTGGGAAGGCTGGTGGAGCTTGGTGAAGCTCCTGCAAGGAGTTGGCTGGTCAAGAGCCAGAGCGAGGGTGTCCTGTGGCTGGCACGTGCCTTCACCTGTATGGGATCAGGCACCTGTGTGGCATCCCAGGTGGGAAGCAGGAAGGCTGCTGGGGCCCAGTGAAGTTCCTGCGAGGAGCGGGGCTGGCCAAGGGGAACAGAGCAAAGGTGTCCCATGGCTGGTGTGTGCCCTCACACCTGTATGGGATCGGGCACCTGTGGGGCATCCCAAGCGGGAAGCAGGAAGGGTGGTGGAGCCCAGTGAAGTTCCTGCAAGGAGTGGGGCTGGCTAAGAGGAGCAGAGTGAAGGTGTCCCGTGCCATGGCTGGTGTGTGCCCTCACGCCTGTATGGGATCGGGCACCACGAGGTCCTGGGGGGGAAGCAGGAAGGGCTCCTGTGAGGGGCAGGGCTGACCAAGGGCCAGAGGGAACTTGTCCCGTGCCATGGCCAGCGTGTGCTGCCCATACACCTGTATGGGATTGAGCCCCACGGGATCGGGCACCACGGGATCCCGGGGGGAGGCAGGAAGGCCAGTGGAGCCTGGTGAAGCTCCCGGGTGCAGACCTTGGCACAGGCACTGAGGGGGTTCCCTCTATCCCCTGCCCAGCCCCCGGCGTGTCCGTGGCTCTCAGGAAGGTGCTGAGCCCGCCTTGCGCTGCCGTTGCCATGACGATGGATGTGCGTCTGGAAAACTAATCCTGGGAGGTGGCACATTGCAGGGAAGGCAACGCCCGGCACGTCCCAGCCCACCCGTGGGTGTCGTGGGGATCGGGGACGTCGTGGTTGTCGTGGTTGTTGTGGCTGTCGTGGTGATGTGGTTACCGATGTGCCACCCACGGATCCAGTTGCTCAGCCAAACCCACCGGCTTGGCACTGTGTGATGGGCACCCTTGTCCCATCCCTGAGTGTTGTTGGATGGTGTCCTTGTGGTTCTGGTGGCCCGTGGGTGTGGGAGCACAGTGGATCCCACGATTATCCCGCTGCTCCCCGTTGCTTGCCCATCATTCCAGTGGGGATGTTGGCTCCAACGCTGCTCACGCCGTCGGATGGGCACGGGCACCCATCCTGGAGCAGGGGGGTGGCTCTGTGCCACCCGTGTGCTGTGGGGCTGTGGGAGAGCAGGAGGTTCCTTTTGGTGACTGTGGGGTCAGGCTTTGCTTTTGGAGTCCTGTCAGAATCATGGAATCATGGAGCGGTTTGGGCGGGAAGGGACCTTAGAACTCATCCAGTTCCACCCCTCTGCCATGGATGGGGACACTTTCCACTCTCCCAGGTTGCTCCAGCCCAGCCTGGAACACTGCCAGGGATCCAGGGGCAGCCACAACTTCTCTGGGCAACCTGGGCCAGGGCCTCCCCACCCTCCCAGCCAGGAATTCCTTCCCAGTATCCCATCTGACCCTGCCCTCTGGCTCTGGGAACCCATTCCCTGTGTCCTGTCCCTCCAGGCCTTGTCCCCAGTCCCTCTCCAGCTCTCCTGGAGCCCCTTTAGGCTCTGCCAGGGGCTCTCAGCTCTCCCTGGAGCCTTCTCTTCTCCAGGGGAACCCCCCCAGCTCTCCCAGCCTGGCTCCAGAGCAGAGGGGCTCCAGCCCTGGCAGCAGCTCCGGGGCCTCCTCTGGACTCTCTCCAGCAGCTCCACGTCCTTGTGCTGTTGTTCCCAGGGCTGGAGCAGCTCTGCAGGGGGGCCTCACCTGAGTGGGGAATTTAGGGAAAAAGGAACACATCAATGAATGAAAAATAACAAAAGCAAATGTAAAATAGCTGCTCCAGGGGAAGAAAACCGAACCAGTCAAGTACCTGCCGGGGTTCTTAATTAATAGTTTAACTCAGGAAAAGTTGCAGGATGTTTTCCAAACAGCTCAAAGGAGGCATCTGCTCCACGGGCAACTCCAGAAGAAAACAGAGCAATGTTAGAGGAGCCAATGATGGATTATGGGATGGAGAACAGCCTTGGTCAAAGCCAGGGATGGCACCTCCGAGTGCTGCCCGTGGCAAGGACGGGGGGGTGAAAGCTTTCCTGAAAACCATCAGGGATGAGGGGGAAAAAACCCTCTGCTTTGAAGAGAGATTTAGGAGAGCGGGATTGTTACCTTAGAAACCAGATGAACAGGAGGAAATATGGGAAGAATATTGAAAATACCAAGTGGCTGGTGGGAGGGAAGGGGGGAACCTCTGCCTGTGCCATGGCACACGGAGAGAGAGGATGCGGGGAAGTTGCTGGGAAGCCACACAGACCCAGTGTGACACAGGAGGGCTTCCCAGCCTGGGGTTGTTTCAGGAATTTGGGATGTTGCTGGAGCTTGTTATAAAGACACGAGGAGGTTGGTGTGGGTAAAGAATCCTGTGGGCTTTTATAATTTATAAGGTTTAGGGAGTATTCCCAAAATAACCCGGAGCAGCTGGTGGCCAGGAAGGAGGGGAAGAGGAGCTGTACCCAAATGGGCAGTTCCCAGTGAGGGGAGGGCAGGAATTTGGCCAGAGAGGGAGATGGCAGGAATTTAGGGCCAGCTATGAGCTCATTTTGTAAAAGACATATAGAAAAGTGCATTTTAGTCCATTATTTTCAGGTACTTGTATATTTTTTCAGGGATAGGAGAATCATGGAGTTCACACTGAGTTTAAAGGGAGATGAAAGTCCCGTGTGGGAAACCTGCATGTTCAGGAGTTCCCAGAATCGTTAAGGTTGGAAAAGAACTTTAAGGTCATCGAGTCCAACCATCAACCCACCACCACCACCTTCACCACTGACCCACGTCCTCAAGTGCCACAGACACAGGATTTTTAAACACTTCCAGGGCTGGGCACTCCAAACCTCCCTGGGCAGCCCCTGCCAAGGCCTCCCCACCCTTTCCAGCAACAAATTCCTCCTCAGCCCCAACCTGACCCTCCCCTGGCCCAGCTTGAGGCCGTTTCCCCTTGGCCTGGCCCTTGTTCCCTGGCAGCAGAGCCCGACCCCCCCCAGCTCCCCCTCCTGGCAGGGACTTGCAGAGCCAGAAGGTCCCCCCTGAGCCTCCTTTGCTCCAGGATGAGCCCCCCCAGCTCCCTCAGCCCCTCCTGCTGCTCCAGCCCCTTCCCAGCTCCCTTCCCTTCCCTGCACACGCTCCAGCCCCTCGATATCTTTCTAGTCATATAAGGCCCAAAATTAGTGTTCAGGAAACAACTGGACATGGCACTCGGTGCTCTGGGCTGGGTGACAAGGTGGGAATTGGTCCCAGGTTTGACTTGATGATCCTGGAGATCTTGTCCAGCCTCAGCGATTCCCCCGCCGTGCGCTCACGGACACGTCCCACAGAGTTATGTGCTAACAAGTGTTTAGAGCAGCTAATTAACAGTGGTGTTTTGTTTGACTCAGTATTCCTTTCACTTGTTATTGGCCTTATCGCTCTCCCAGTCGGTTCCCAGCGTGTTTGTGTTGGTTTGACAGAGCTTTTATTTGCTGGCGGGCTGGTGGAGCGGAGCGGTGATCCTTATCTCGGCCCGGTTCTCAGTTCCCAGGGATGTTTCATTTTCAAACAAAAAACCCTTCACTTTGTGCTAAGTGACAAGGCATCCATAAACATGCAGAGTCCTCTCACATCTTCCTTGAGAAGTCTTGCAGAAAAATTGATTCTGGGTCAGATTTTTATTAGAGTAAATATCAAGAAAATTTAGCGTCTGCAACGTCGCCCCAGTTCTTTATTCTGAGGGTGAAAACTCGCAGCAAAATTCTGATTGTTTTGCAAATATATTCAGGATGTCAAAGAGAATTCAAATGAAAACTGGTTTAGCATCAGGGTGTCGTTTTTTCCAGAAATGATGTGTAGAAGCACCTCGTGCTGCAATGGCCTTGGGAGGAAAAGACTTGGGCGATGCTGGAGGTTAATCCATAGGATGATGGAAGGGTTTGGTTTGGAATGGATGTCAAAGCCCACCCAGTTCCACCCTTTGCCATGGGCAGGGACACCTTCCACTAGACCAGGTTGCTCCAAGCCCCGTCCAACCTGGCCTTGAAATCCTTGGATGAGCCTTGCACGGCGTGTCCCCAGATGCCTTCGGTGCTCGTCTGCCTTTGTCCATAACCTGCTCCTGGGAGGGACCCCCGGGGTGTTTGTTGTTGACATGATTGGCTCTGAACCCCCCCAGTTGCTTGGTGGGTCACTGGGGCCCCGGGAGGATCAGAAGGATCTGATGCACAGACGTCACATCCCGTCCTTGGGAAGCCTCGGTGATGGACATTCCCTGGTGTTTTCCTTGTTCCTGCCTGTCTCTGTCCTCACCATTAGGGAGTTTTCTAACATCTGACCCAAACATTCCTTCCTGTGGTTGTTACACCACGTTTACACTGCTGTCCCACTCCTTCACAGAATCCCTGAGGTTGGAAAAGCCCTCCCAGCCCATGGATCCACCCCGGGCCCCATCCCCACCTTGTCCCCCAGCCCAGAGCACTGAGTGCCACGTCCAGGCCTTCCTGGGACACCTCCAGGGCTGGGCACTCCAAACCTCCCTGGGCAGCCCCTGCCAAGGCCTCCCCACCCTTTCCAGCAACAAATTCCTCCTCAGCCCCAACCTGACCCTCCCCTGGCCCAGCCTGAGGCCGTTTCC